TAGGTTGTCTAGTGATAATTGAGAAAAAGCATCCAACAATAATATAGATAAATTAATAATATCGCCAAATCTTTGCTAATAATAATTATAACACGCTGTACCCATGCGGCTTCACCCGCATGAAATTATAAAAAGTTTATTTTATTGTTTACATTTGTCATATTCTCAATTGTAAATGTCAAATATCAATTACCTTACTATGGCAATCTTGCTTCCATGATGTTGACAGCAATATTTACCACCTAAGTTTAATGGCGTGAAAATATATAGCCTAAAGCGTGATGGAAGTGTAGGGCTTTTTATTAAAAAAAAAATTTTCTGCCTAACAGATTAGTCACGGCATGGAACAGGGTTCCGGATAGTGTAGTGGCGGCTCCAACAGTCAACGCTTTTAAAAATAGGCCAGATAAACTTAAAATATCCGAGCTATACAACACACACGCATCAGCTAACTAGCTGCTAGTGTGTTACCCAAAAATAATAACAAAATTATTACTAAGAGGCTCTAGCCTACGTAAGGGTTGAAATAAATATATCACATTTAGTTGTACTAAACTAACATTGAGTTATATTTGGCATTACAATGCAACTTATAATCAATCGATATGTATAAATAGAATGGTACCTACAATACCTAAAAATACGTAGTCATGAAATAACCGACCAGAAGACTTACCACAGAAGTTAATGCGTCATAACCTGTCTATATATCCCGGTACGTAGTTATCAATGAAATGACGCATTATATTATATTTTATTGTATTCTATTTTTTTTAATAACAAAGATGTTTTATTTGTTTATTAATATTTGTCTTACTTCTTACTAAAATTAAAAATGCGATGATTAATAAATAATAAGAATCTAGGATGGATGGATGGATGTTTGTTAGAGTTGTCTAAACGGATGAATGGATCTGGATGAAATTTGCTATAGATGCAGAGGATGGTCTGGGAGAATACATAGGCTACTCGTTTTTTTTTAATTCCGCGCAGACGGCGTCGCGGACGAAAGCTAGTATATGATAAATGTAATTACGCAATAATTGCGAATTTACCAAGCGCGATGTACAATTACATTGAATAAGTATTTGTAGTTCAGTTACCTACTGTCTAATAAAACTTAACCAATCGATAAAATTGGTGGACAAATCATTTTGAAGCTCATATAGTTACTCTAAAATGCACCAAATTACTATCCTATTTACCGGTAAAACCTAAGCTTAACAATTACGGTGATAGACCGTAAAGTTGTGTTTATTCCGTGTTAAATCTTATAATATAGAAAAGGTAAAAACCTATCTTAGTAGATTAATTTTATAAATATTTTAATAGTATAAATGAAAAACAACCAAGTCCATCTAGAGTCATTCGAATTGACCAATCGTAAGTTAGTAAAATAGTTTAAAATAGTTTCTTAGTTAATTATTTAGTTACAATGTACAAATAGTGCGAACACATCTTCAATGTTCTATAACAGTGAAGCAGTCACAAACAAGTAAGCTTGTTAGACTCCGGTTTACAATGTGAACGATATTAACATGACAAATGGATTCAAACAATTTGATACAAGCTCGCTACAAACCAATACAATTTATTCACTAATTTAACGTTATTTGCAATAATGTTGCCTTACACGTAAAGTTATTATAAATTATTTATGTAAAAGTAGCTTTCGCTTGAGGTACGTTCGCTTGGAATTAAAAAAAAACTAAAGTCAGCCTATTCGTTCTTCCACATTATCCTCTATCATCTCTGCCAAATTTCATCGACATCTGTTCAGCAGTTTAGGCATACTCTAAGAAGGAAAATGTCCATAAAAATATAATTTTCTGTACACTTTACATGCCTACACTTTTGGTGAATATAATAAAAAGATATTTCTGTTTTTGATATAATTTACCATAGCAACAAAACTTACAATAATTAAAATAATGAGATAGAGGAAAATATTTACAATTTAATTTAGTTACTTACTAAAATTACGTCAATTTCCTCATTATTTTATACTAGCTGTTCTGTCTGCTGTCATTTATTCATTTGTCAAATTATCAATTGCAAATGTCAAAATGACATAACATGATGTCAAACCATGATAACCTTGCTTCATTGATGTTGGCAACAACTTATGGTCTCTTACCCACATTAGGGTTTTTATCCAAAATATTTAACCCTAAGTTTAACGGCGTGAAAATATATAGCCTAAAGCGTGACGTAAGTGTAGGGCTTTTTATTAAACAAAGAGTTAATCGAAAATATGCTGTGATTGCTGACATCTTAGGCAACAAAGAAGTGTGTGTTTACGCTTTATTATAATAGTATAGATTTACACAGTAACTAATCAAAATTGTTTAAATCATATTTAAATAAATTTGAATATTCATACTGTAGCATTTTCTGTTTCGAGAATTTTGTTAGTTAAGTTTCGTTATTTTCCTCAAACTTAATAGGATGTTCCCATTTCTATTTTATAATATGGTAACAAATAACGTTGTTTAAAAATAAAAATAAAAAGTTTTTTTTCGTTACAACAAACTCCAGCGAATTAAGAGTCAAACTCATCTTCTATATACACATAATAAAATTGTAGTGTCTGTTTATAATATCAAAATAAAATTTCCAGATTTTGGGAAGATGATGTATTTGCGTTGCTGTCAACGAAAATCGCATTGAAGAATTTTTTGTTTGTCTGTCTGTCCGCAAGCCGCGTTTGTTCCGGGTAATCTCTGAAACGACTGCGCCGATTTCGACAGGACTTTCACTGGAGGGTATCTGACATGGATAGGGGTAATTATAGCTTACTTTTTTAATTCCGCGCTGTAAAAATGGCGTAATGGGTGGCCCGAATTCGCGCTAACAAAGTTTGTGGGCGACAGCTCGTTACAAATAAAGATTATCATATAGCTCGTTATGCCGACAAAAAAAAATAGGACTTTAAATGCCACTAAAACAAGCTACAAATAAAATCTTACATACATCAACCTTAAATGTAGTAAAAAAGAAAACGTGGCAAAAGGGGGCAAGCTCAGCTAATGCAGAAACGACGCAGGCCGTTTCTGCGCTGGTTTTCAGCTGGCCCCTTTACACACAGATATATAAACACAAGTTGGGTGACTTAACCTTAATAGACATTAAAAAAGTAAATAAATAATAAAAAAAATCAGTTCAAACATGTCAGTTCACCTAAAATATATCACTATACTAGTATGAGCAGTATAATTAATTAGTGGTGTCTCACACGATCTCAGTGATATGCGTTAGCCGCAGCTGCGGTTCCTTGCCGCGGTGCAAAAATCGACGACTGCGGTCCTCGGTCGCCCGCCGACGACCCGCAATAACACTGTGCGGCTACCGTATGATAACAGCGTGAAGAATACTTCACCGCGATATTCCTGGGACGAAATTAAAACATATATGATGTAGAGTAAGAACCAAAAGATCCATAAACTATGTACAATATTTACCTATTCTGTACTTATACTCGTATTATAAATTCGATGAATGGATAAATGTTTGTTAGGGTTTGCCTAAACTATTTAATGGATCTCGATGAAATTTGGGACAAATGTAGAGCATATTCTGGAAGAACACATTGGTTATCGGACTTGCCGGCGAAATATTATTATAAAAAGGAAATATGTGTATTTTTGTATATTTTGAACCAACTCAAAAACTACTGTGTCGATTTAAAATAAGGTTTCACCATTAAAGTCTACGTTATTCCTAGCAACATGGGCTATACTTTTATAATATTTTTTAATTCAAAGGAAATCAAGTCGTGACCAAAGCTTGTGTTATATAATTTATTTTAATTATAAAACTATGTTCAATAAAAAAAATTAATCAAGTAATCGATAGATTAGGTGCATAGAAAATGTTTTTGTCTTGTTACCTTGTAATTAAAGTTCGGCTAAAGTTATGACTATTTAATTTGTTGTCGTCAGAAGTCATAGTTTTAAGACGTCATATTATGACGTTAAACATAGGATAACAATTTTATAAGCACTACACTACACTTGTTCTACGTACGTAAGTTTTCCTTAATTCTTATGACGAAACATGTGTACTTTATAGCAAAACATAATTCTTTACGTATTACAACTGAAAGTACGCCCCTATTTTTAGACACAGTTGTATAAATATTACTGTTCTATAGTTTAACTTAACATGTTCATATTTTGAAGTATATTAAGATACTAGTGCGTCCTAAGTTTATCTTATAAATGTAGGGGAACGTAAGGCAAGTTTACCTAGAAGTATTGCATCAGAACGGTACAGAAAAGCAATGGTGACTAATAAAGATCTACTTTTCAAAGAGGACGTAATCCCAAAAGTCCCGAGAGGGTTCATCTCAACGCGGGCAAGATCCGTTCCTGGGCCGGCAACGCAACAAGTGTGTCGACCGTCGCTGCCGGCTGTCGACGCCGCGACGTCGGGCATTTTTCCCGCGTTGGCGTCTTGGCACGCGCGGGGCGGGGCGCCACGCCCAGTCGAGCGTACGCCCCTTCGTCTTAGACCTAACTGCATCGCATAAATATCAACTATATCTTAGCACCACTCAGGGCTGTGCTCCTATCGATGAGACTTCATCCGATCCATCCAAACTTTGACCTACTGAAATAAGTTATATTCTTTTTCAGGTTAGGTGGCTTTGCCTATACTGTTAACTTATTTGCAATGCCACAAAACCACGCTGAAAAGTAGTAGGTTCTTGCAAATGCGACAAAATAATTTAAAAGTATTCTTCAGACCCGAGAATAGTGAGAAAAGAGCAAGACAACCGATAGTGTTCAAAAATGAAAAAGCTCATTATATTTCCTTGCCGACATTGGAACAAAACAAAAATATTTTATGGAACAAAACTTTTTCCCGTCCCGCTCGCTCGCGTCCAAAATTGCATGGGTGCGAGTAGGAGACGGACGCCTCGCATTTTCCCGGCAAATGAAGCGTGGCCAAACCACAGATTGACCGCAGAGAATGGAGGCAGCGAGTGACAGAATGGCGGCGGCTCAGTAGTGGAGAGTCGCGCGAGCGGAGCACACGCGTGCAGCCTCCGCGTCGTGACGCACGCGACGTCGTCATACCTGTCAGACGCGCAACTTGCGCTCCGTCATACGCGCAAAAAATACGACGCTCAATTAGGAAATCGACAGTGACGCAAATCGCGGGGAAATATAAATCGAAAAGCCCGCGCACAGCTGATATCGACAGAGCCTGCGTCGACGCAGCTCCGCCTCACATCCGTGCCGGTATGGTTTCGCTTTTCGACGATTCGCGGTAAAACTAACCAAGTGAGTCATTTAAAATGACGAAAGTTAAGTTGAAACAGAAGTCTCCAAGGCCCGTTCCCACTGCTGTGAGTTCAACGTGAGTTGAGGAAACAAACTACATAAATTTCTGTTTACACGCGCCGCGACGTACGCGCGCACGGTTATTTTATAACAAAATACTCTATAAACGACTGATTAATTTAGTACAATTGTAAACATCCAAAGATCTCAACGACTACTTACATATAACGTCAGTCGCATCGTAAGACTGTACAAGTGTGAACAATAAATAAGTGATAATTCATCGAACAATAAGGGGAAATTTTGTTGGCGCGTCGCCAAGGACATTTGAAGAGAAACATTTGAATAAAGACAATTACTCATCATCGCTAAAAACGAGGAGAAAGCTTATTCAGAAAACGCCTGCTTAGCCAAACGTGTTGATCGAGGACATTTCTCAAGAATTGTACGATAGCCAGGCAAACAGGCCCTTGAGTAATATTAAGATCTAGGACTACTAGGATACTAACCACGGACATATTAGATTGGATCATATACATTGACGAGCACGCAAAGATCAACAAGCTAAGCTGCTTAGCAAGGTGTAATGGTGTGAAGGATGCACCTTCCATACGAGTCGAGGGGCCGACGGCGCCGCGAGATGGCCGAGCTGGAGCCGTGGTGGCTGCAGTCCATCGTGGACGAGACCCTCGTCGAGCACCCGGACTTAGGTAAGATAATATACTAGTATCGACATTTGCTTTAAAACTTTCTCATATTACTGACAATTAAAAAATCCAACTACGGCACTGATATGTCGGATTAAACTATGTTGTTAAATACTAACATAAAGTACAGTCAGCTATATAAACATGTTTACATTTACAATATCTTTTATAGGCAATCAGTTTCTAAAATATGTATGGACTTATCTGTCAATAAAATGTATTCTTGGCAGGAATCATACGGAGACACACGTATACATGTTTTTGAAACTGATAGCGTTTGTGTACAAGTTTCTATAGCGTGATGAATGTATATATTTAAGCATCTAACTGTATATATGAAGCGTGTAAACCAATAAGAAAGTTATACTTTTCTATTCAGACTTAGTTTGCAGGACGAAAAACTTTACTTAAGTGATTTAAATAAGCATACACTTTATTAAGTTTTTAATTTAATTGTGTTTAATATTTTTCAATGTTACTTGAATATTAAACCATGAGATGTCGAGACAAGCCTGGTCAGTGATAAACCTTATTTTATGTACATATTTAAAAAAAAAATTTCTAACGAACTAATAAACAATCAACTATGTTTGCGACATACAATTCTAATTATAATTTATCAATTACTAGATCGTTAATTTCTTTTTGTTCAAATTAATGACAGCAAATTATCTATTTTTTTAATTTGCTATTTGCGTAATGTGAACTGTACTTTGGTTTGGAAATATCTAAAGATAGTATATTTAAGTAAAAAAATATAACAATCAAACTAAATTGAATACAACATTTAGATTTTACCATGGTTAGGAATTTTAAACATGATCTTCCCGTTTGATAAAAGACTAGCTGTTGCTCGCGACTTCGCAGGCGTGAAATTAAAAATTATAGCCTATATTACACAGATATAAATTACCTTACGTAGTTTTTGAGTTATTTCAATATATACAAAAATAAAAATCTTTCCTCTTTATAATATTAGTGACTCTTTTCTTTAATTCACCATAACATAAGTATCAATTATTAAGTCATTCAAACAAATTATTAGAATTGCTGACAAATGTTTAATTAGTCGTATATACATACCGACTATGTGACAGCTCGAGTGTATAAATAAAACTTGGTTTTACCCGTAAAACAAACAATGTGTAATATTAGTCCTGCGTACCTATTAGGAATCAGCCATCAAATTATGCGACATCTCGGATTTTCCAAACATCATAAATAATAAACAAAATTAAATTTAATAAAACTATTAAACTGAATTATTTGATATACATTTTATATTTTCATATTATTGTCTTATAGGAATAAATAAGAATGTAACAGTTTTTATTACGGATTAAAATAAAAAATACTTTCGACCTAGGAAAAGACATCAACGCTGTAAATAAGCTTATTAATTTCTTATCAATAAAATCACAGTATTGAAATATAGTACAAACAAAACTGACTAATAGACATGCTACCTTTGTGCCTACGTAGGGTTGATTATGTACTCTTTCATACATCTCTATCAGCGTTTGTATTTAAATTGAATCCGTTTCACACAATCCATCCATACTTTCAGTCTTCCTCTATCTTTGTAGTCATCTATATTCTATCTTATTATTTAAATTATTGTTTAAATTATGGTGATCTCTTCGCGTAACATAGTAAATATAAAAAACACATAGAATTTGTACAACTTATTTAAACACAAGTGTTGCTGACCATTGACTTTAGTGCCTTTTTTTCTTCATAGTTGAAGTGATTTTAAAGTGGGTTTTCACTGCTGGAGCTATTACACAAAAGCCGATTGCCATCCCTATCACTCAGTTTGCAAAAAGTGGGATAGCGAAATCTTTTTATACAGGTATTCAGTGAAAACCCAAGGTTAAACAATGTAATAGTTATTGGAAGTATATCGTAATCGTGACTTGTATAAAAGCTATTAATAGTAAATAATGAAATAAAAAGATTTGTTCAATCTAATTATATTAATATCTCATTCTAAATAACGAGAATATTTAATTGAATACTTAAGATTTTATTCATTTTTATTTTTATTTGGTGTTCTGCACACGAGGCTGGAATTATTTTCTCTAATTACTTACTCTTAGTTCTGCATATTGAATTTTTATTAAAGCCTTTTGTATACAATACGCGCGTTACAGTCGATTACAATCTGTTATCTCCAGAATCAGCATTGTTGAATCGCTTATCAGAGTGTTGACACCTTACCGATATTAGTTATACAACTTTAAAAGACCTTCAAATCTGTTCTTATATATTTGAATACTAGCTTTCGCCCGCGACTCCATCCGCGTGGAATTTAAAAAAAAATAGTAGCTAGTGTTCTTCCAGATTATCCTCTACTTCTATGCCAAATTTCAACCAGATCCGTTCAGGCGTTTTGGCTAGAAACTCTAACAAACATCCATCCATCCATCTAAACTTTCGCATTTATGATATTAGTAAGAAGTAAGATGTGATGTAGTAAGATTAATAATACTGTACGGATAATTTAAAAAAGTGTTTTAATTAAAAAAAAATCACTTCGTACATTTAGGAGATAAACATGTAATTGCGTAAATACCAATATAAAAAATTAACAATCTGCCATAGTAACAATGTCACGTGAAAGAATTAACATAACGAAGTCCTGTCTATCCGCTTGAGTACAACCGCGTCCAGTCTTTGTTTGATTCAATCAAATAAAGGTATAACAATTAGGTACAATCACGTACAGTCAACAGCGCGGATCCCCAGTACAGTCGCGTCTAAAAGCACTCATGGTAATGAGCTCATTGAATGTGCCCTAATGAGGTCACAGGCTGACAGGGCCGATCTAGAGATCTATATTATGTTAGGCCTGTGTTCCCGAATTGTTACATCGGCTTACAAGTACGCGTAATTTAATTAAAATCACAATATCAAGTATTTACATTTAGTTAATATTCACATAAAAAGCATTATTGTTTTTAACTTAAATACATACCGAAGACATTATCTATCAGATTGAGTGAAGGAAGTGTATTCGGATATTACGGCTATCAGAGATGTAGAGCAGTACGTACTGTGCCGATCCTCCTCAAGGCTAATGATGTCAGGGTCGACGTTGGATCTGAGTAATTGATAGTACGCAAAAGATTAATAAAAATATGTATAGACATTACGTAAATATACTCGTAAAATGACTAGAAACTCAGATAAGAATTCTATTAAGAATGTTGACGTAAATCTATTCGTAGGAATTTCCGATAGTATTTTAATGTTCTTATTAACTACTACGTTGATAACGTAAATCTGTATCTCAGCGGAATACAATTATTTTATAAATAACCTTAGTTTTATTTCCTAGAACATTAGCTATTAATGTTCATAACTAAGAAATCGTTTTCAAAAGAATTGTAATGGAATTTGTCACTGACGCTATAATTTATATTATAGAAAGTAACCCTTACTAAATTATATCTAATCTAACTAATGTTATAAATCCGAAAGTTAAGATGAATGTATGGATGGATCTTTGTTAGACTTTGATGAAATTTGACATAGATGTAGAGCAGAGTATAGAAAAACGCATAAGTTACCTACTTTTGTTTTTTTAATACCATTCGGACGGAGTCGCGAGCAAAAGCTAGTCATAAATAATTTCAGATATTATCGAGAAAGTTAAAGTTTGTACCCAGCAATATAGTTCGCAATTTAAACCTTATTAAAACCCACTTTCAGAAGTATTAGTCTCAAAAACATATTCTTGAATACGGCCCTGCTATCGCATACAAAATTCTAAAATAATACAGTAACGTACAGGGTGATTGTTTTTATCAATTAATAATTTAGGCAAAGAAAGTTAGATGAGACGTGCAGTCATCACATCAGAGCACCCTTTATCACGGCGTAACCGCATTCCTTACCCGCACTTTGCGGCCGTATAATTTGTACGTAGCTTCCGTAAATAGAGTAACCACAGTTATACTATTAATTTTTTTATTGTTTCCCGTTACAGTTTAGTCTATTCACATAGTTATAGTTGAATATAAATATTAATTGAATATAAATCTAAATGTTCTTAAAAATCAGGATAATACTAAAACGATGTCCGCTGCAATAATGCTACTGTAATGCCTGTTTAGAAACAAATTGTCGTCCTTGTTATTTCCACAGAGAATGAGCGAGATGTCAATATTGTAAAGTCGGTCGTTAGAAAAGGAAAAGATACGCATAATGGAAAACCCTATACACAGAGTCAAACGTCGTGTTTGTTTACTAGTTTTTACCACCGCTGTTTAAATACTATTTGTTTGACATTACTTAGCGTAGGAAAAGCGACACGTGTAGATATTTTAAAAAATAATGTTTATAATCGCTTTCTACACATGTTTTTTTAGTTTCTGTATTGTCTACGAGGATTTACAAGAAAGGTGATCAAGGAGTTGCAGTTGTCTACGGGCGTTATTAGTCTATTTTATTAAAAGTTCCACTACCCGGTTGCCAGCTATTTGAAACAAAATCTTTTTACTGTTTACAGCGTTACCGTTTGTTGTGATGTTCTAAAATCTATTTCCAAATACAAGGTAATACTAATCTGGGTTCATAGATAACGCATATTTTTATAATTTATTATGGTCATTGACTCTATTTTGTATTATAACAAGCATTGCCACATCGATAAGTGACACACATACGTACATAAATGTTTTTCCTCGTTCAATCAATTTTATGGCGCTTCCAATTATATGCATACTAATTTGATAAACTGTCGATGCCGAGGTGTTGTGACATAAATTAGTGCGTATTATAAACGTTAAACAAACATATAACAGGTGTTCTCTTAACACGTTTAAAGCGGCAGAGATTTTTCTGTTCTTTCAGTTCCTGCGGTGTATCACAACCTTTATTTTATATATACATTTCTTATTCCCACTGTAAGCGAGATACGTACCAGTTCTTTTAGACCTGGTTTTGCATTCAACGTGTTAAAAAATCACATTACAAATACCCCAACATAATACCAAAGTGCTGAATCATCCAATAACGATAGACAAAATAGAAGAAAGCAATCCTAAGGAACAAATGTAAAAGATGAGCATTTTAATTCCTGATTATAGCAAAAACTGTGCAATTTACTACTTTATTATGAGAGTAAAATGTCGCTAACAAAACATATGACAGATACAAATTCCTCCTTACACCATTTTCATCCAATTATACCAAAAATCCTCTAAAAGATATCTCATTTGTACCTGCTGGTTTATAGAGTTACTCATCGTCTCAATCAAGAGATCACAAACTGGATACGTAGCCATTAAACTATACCTCACGTCACAGAGTAAAAAAACTCGTTTCTGAGTCATCTGCACTTTCACTTAATGATAGCAGCTAACGATGAAAATTAAATAATTTAAAACCTGACATGAAGCAGTCGTGGCCGAGCGGTTAAGGCGTCTGACTAGAAATCAGATTCCCTCTGGGAGCGTAGGTTCGAATCCTACCGACTGCGAACCTTTTTTAAATTTCTCTGTCAAAATAAATAAAAACAAAACTTACATTTATCGTAAACATATTTTTTGCACATTTTTCTGTAAACCTCATATTTATGCTTTAAGATTTCCTTGCCAAAAGAATTTCGTTACAATTATAATAAACTAACTTACACCCGCGACTGCGTCCGCGTGGAATTAAAAAAGAAAGTAAGTAGCCTATGAGTTCTTGCAGACTATGCTCTACATCTATACTCAATTTCATCGAGATCCGTGGAGCCGTTTAAACTACAAACTCTAACAAACATCCATTCATCTAAACTTTCGCATTTATAATATTTAACTATGATTACGTTATTTATGTATATTTCATGTTACCAGACCATTAAAGACATAGTTTTAAAGAAGATTAATGATTAATTTCTTTTCAGTTCGTACTGGGAGCCCTGACTACATGTGTTCAATGCTGCCGCAGCATTGGCGCTCCAACAAGACGCTGCCCGGCGGCTTCAAAGTGGTAGCTCTAGGAGAAGTGGTGGACGGCACGCTGGTTACCGTCCGTGCAGGCAACGACGAGAACATAACCGCTGAACTAAGGAACAACACAGCCGTTATGAAGAATAGAGTAGCCAAATTCAATGATTTGAGGTTCGTCGGGAGAAGTGGGAGAGGTAAGAATATTACGTATTTTTATATAGAAAAATTATGTACCAATATAAATAGTATTGTAACTAGCTTCCGCCAGAGGCTCCGGCCGCGTGTAATTAAAAAAAAAACTAAGTAACTAGTCTATGTGTGCCAGAATATGCTCTACATCTATCTAAATTTCATCGAGATACGTTCAGTAAATTAGGCTACAACTCTAACGAACATCCATCCATCCAAACTTTCGCATTTATAATATTAGTAAGATTAATATGCAGAGTACAAAAAAAAACTCACGAAACAAGAACATTTATTAGTATATACTATTAATTTTTTTTATTTCTTTTATTACCATTACATTTCAAAATGTCATCATAAGTTGTTAACGAGTTAGTAACAAGAACAAAAAAGAATATTAAATAGGTGTAAAAAATCGGAACCGATATATGTCAAATATAGATCAAGAAGCTAATTCAAGAATGTCCTAGCAAGCCAATGGGCCGAGAAATATCAGACGTAACGCAACCGATCGCACGCCTATCCGGTTTCAGGTGCAATATTCGGTGCACGAGACCTGATTGACAGCTAATACTTAGGGCTGGCGTCCACTAGACGATAATTCGACTCCAATACTATCGAAAATATTATCTTACTCACTACAATTTATTGCTCTAAAATACTTTAGCCTTTTTACGATTTCCTATAGTGTGTATAGATTTTTGACAAAAGAGTAAAAGCCCCGTAAAAACATAAGGGATCTTCTTTTAATTCTTCTGTATCACATCGCTTACTGAGAACAACTTTTTTTATAACTACGTAAAATGTTGATCCCGTCGTATATTTTAATTGATTAAAACTTTAGAGCAGTTTAAGAAGTCAGTACATAGTTGCCTTAGTGAGTAGAAAAATATTAATTAAAATAAATAAATAAAAATAACAACCACTTACAATAAGCCCATATTAAGGATGGTATAAGTATCTAAACCTAATCAGATCATCAGCTGAAAACGCCCCTAGTCCAACTCAATATTCAATAGACAGAAAATAAATTCGAGTTTATGTTTAGTTAATGTAATTTAATATTGAATTTCTATCAAATTTTCAAATTGAAACTTGGTACGCAACTGCAGGCCAACGCAAGAACCGCGTAAAACTTTCCCCGATGCATTGGTATCAGAGAGGTAGGATTTTAATTCCCAAACCGCAGGCGGCAGTAAACGACGTTCGTACTTTACAGTTCCATTGTGTTGGCATACAACATATTACAGACCCACATGCACGTGTAAAACTGATGTCAGGCAACAGAACATTCCGCGACTGGTCATCTCACGGGTATAAAATACTATTATTGTGTTTTACCTATACTTTGTACTATTTCTTACATTACATATATAGTTCTGTAATTTTACATCTGTATGTATAGACTAGCTATTGCTTGTGACTTCGCCCGCGAGTAATTACAATAAAAAACAGTAAAAACATAGCCTACGTTACTTAGTTATATCATAGCTTTTTAATGGTGTAAGAATTTTTTTAAATCTATACATTAGTTTTTGAGTTATTTTAATGCATACAAAAATTCAAATCTTTCCTCTTTATAATATTAATATAGATTTAGTTACTTGGTCTCATTGGTGTACAATGATAATTTTTATTAAGTTCAGAATCATGCATAAAGAAAACAAACTGACATTGCTATCATCAAAATATTACAATTAAAATTTCGTTCATTCTATAACTACTTAATTATTTTTTTTAACTAATAAAGAATTCAAATTACATTAACATTCTTAGCAAATGACATTGTGTAATAACATTAGTAACAATTAATTAATGAGATAGAGCCGTTCCACAACTAAACTCAAAAAAATACGTAATTTTCACTATTGCATTATCTATAAAGGAAATATTTGTATTTTTGGCTTTTTGTATTGAAATAACTCATGTACTACTTTACCAATTTCAAGAATTCTTTCGCCATTAGAAAGCTACGATATATCTGAGTAACATAGGCTGTTTTATCCTATTTTTAATTTCACGCGGACGTAGTCGCGTGAAACAATCTTTGTTTTAGAAACTCCTTGATTTCCTTTATGTTAGGGGTTTTAGAACATAAAAAACCTATATTGATACATTGTTTTAGTGATGTTCCTATTTCATATATCGATGACCATAATTAGGCGTGTAACTAAATACTGGTAATATGTGGAGTTAGTGACGTGGTCATCACAACAGCGCGCCGCTAATGCGACTTGATTTGAGCGGACAGCCCGGCTCCGAGGCTCGTTGGCTCGCACCGAATTATCGATACCTGTACACATTGATGTTATTTATTTACAATCATGCGTTGAGACAAGTTGAATGTCGAATTGGAAGACGGTAAATGTTATATTGCTTTTACCCGCGTCTTAATCCGACTATGTTCTAGCTAAGCCAAATTTCATCGAGATCCGTTAAACTTTTTTGAAAATACATAGTTACAAACATCTATATATCTTCATCAAACTTTCGCATTTATAATATTGGTAATAATATGATTAGTTTATTTATTAAAATAAACAAGAAGTCTAACTGACTTTATGACTGCAGTACCCTGAGACGTTAGTGTTTTGTTTCTGTTGGCAACCAACTCTTTTCATAAAATAAAGTTTTTTAACTATATGGCAATAGTAATTGTACGTCGAAATATAACAAACACAGACTTCTACTGCCGTAAAAAGTTTAAAAAAAATCACGTGATGAGTTGTCATTAAGTTGAACACATAATTAGGCGCGAGTGGCCGCACGTAAACGGCATGACCAGAATGCGACCAAATCATTTTGTGTAGCGGTCGCCGTACTATTACGCTCCATTCTAAGCTTTCATACGTTTTTTACACTCATTTCGGTCATCTTTGGTTGTTGCCTCGTATACTGTAAGTTGTACTTTTATATTACGATGTTGAAATATTTTTTAAGTAAGAGTAACATTATCTTCCTGTTTACTTTTGATACATAGATGTAAAGATAATGGTACAAAATGCCAAAATAATTGTAACAGTAATTGTTAATTAGCAAAATGTGTTTTTTTATATATAAAAAAAATCGAAAGTTCAGATGGATATGTGTTTATTAGAGTTTGTAGCCAAAACTGCTGAACGGATCGATAATTTGGCATTGATGACTTGGACAGTTTTTTTTTAAATTCCGCGCGGACGAAGTCGCGGGCGAAAGCTAGTCTATAATATAACTATGTAATATGGTATTAAACGAAGAAAATCTGTCTCTTATTTAATAACATCATATTATTCTGGTTCGTGCATATCTAATTTAGTAAAAAGCGTAACAATAACAAAGTATTTGATGTTTATCTTTTATTAGCAAGAGGTTGTGAGGTGTTTCCCGGTATTCCCTGATGATTTCAACTAACGGTTAGGCCAACTTAAATGGCGGCTACGTTTGAGTGCATAAAAATATATCAGATACTTTAAATATAATAGAACAAAAAATCTTTTTATTAAACTATTTATTTTGAACTTAATGTAACGAGGAGATCTCTCCTTTTGGAATTTTTGTTAGACAATTTTGTTAGCTATATTTTTACGTAACATAGGTTTGACTTATACTAAAACCTAATAGAGAAAACGTTCAATTGAACATTGATACTCGCAGGCTTCACTCCTTGCCCTCAGTTCACGCTCACCGCAAACGATTTTCGTGAAAATCGTGTCATAGCGAAACTTATATGTCTGAACGTGAACCGTCGCCTCGCAAATGTCACTCGGGATTTACGTTCGATCGTAAATCAAGATGGCCGCCGCCCCGCGCCCCCCGTCCCGCACACTTGCGCCCGCGCACAATAATTGAATATTTCACGCACCTCTCTCAACACCTCCAGAAGACGGTCGTCGGAATACAATGTTATGTTTATTGCTTCGCGCGTATTGTGTTAGGTCCTAAACTGTTGATGACTGATCATACGAAATGCATTAAGTTTGATGGCGATTTTAAACGCAATATTTCACATCGTTCGGGACACGCCTTTGGCGTTTAGCGGCTGGCGGTTTATGATGATTTGTTTCCGTATTGAACTGCTGCTCTTAGAGTGTTGCTTTGTAATGTTTGAGAGCAAGTAACTATGTAGAACATCAGTAGAATTAAAAGGAATGGCGAATGAACGCCAGATAAATGTAAAGTTAATACTTTCGAAAGGCTTATAACAAAGTGGTTTTATTTTATTATTTATAACGTGGAGGGAAAGTCTTAAAAGTACGCAACTGTCTCATGTATTTTGTTTGATACACACGCACGTTCATAATTTTAGTTTCGACGCCTTCACACGTCAGGCGATTATTATCAGAACATTTTTGTCCATTTTAATTAATAAACAAATGTTATTTAAAAATAACAAAAGTAATCGAATACAAACGCACAAGCGATATGTCCACGGACCAGTCTTGACTCGTTCAGGAAATACCGACCGCTTGATAGTTTATCAGTATCGGTGGGAACCGCAATTGAAATTTCGTTCCGCTCCTATCTATTTGTTAAAAATGACAATTCATAATTAGAACAACATTATTGGAGTACGAGGTCAATGTGTCATTTGTTATTTGTATATTTTTGTTATGTTCTTTAAAATGTTTATCGTGTTTTATTTAAAATTAAATTAAAGCCTTTAGTACAAAGGATATTTACTATATAGTGTTCTAAGTATAGAATATAGAAAAGGAATGTGTAATCGCATTCGACTAGACGAAGCTTTGAAATCAATCATTCGCACTAAATCGAGAGCGCGCTCTACACACGAATTATCTGCATTAGACATGTTAATCCACTCATTTTAACTGTAATTTTATTCCGTATTTATCGGTGCATTCATTACTGGCGACCGCAAATCGGACGCCCAAAAAGCACTCTATTTTCCACCGTGCGCGCGAGCCAGCCCGTGCGTAGCGCTTTGCGCGGGAAAATGCCGTTGCCCGAGCGATATGAAATATTTAGACACGTTCTTATATCCAATATGGCGTCGAACATTTCATAGAAATTAATAAATTAGTTACAAATGCAGCTACATACATACGCACAAAGTTACTTTTATAACTAACTTAACTCATTTGCTTATTAACTCAAAAGTGTATTTTAAAGTTAGTGTCTAAAATAAGAACCATTGTTTTTTTTCTTCTGACTGACAGGTCTAAAAATATTTGTTTCTACTTAATCAAAACATAATGCTTGCTAATAAAATTAGGGTTATTGAAATGTCATTTTTAAGTTGACCTATAAACTTTGCGTGTTGTTTAAGGTCAAAAATTTTATTAACTTAGACACTATCACATGTAAAAGGTGTGAAAGCTAAGTTTTTCCTTTTTTTTGCGACTGAATGGCTACTGTTTTCCTTGAAGAGGTATTTACAGATTCACCGGGCTTGTGGCAGAGCGTAGATGTCGCTTAGCCTAAACCTCGTTAATTCGTCAATAGTTAAAACTAGTTGCTATGACAAAATAATTAAGTACTTTTTTTAGTATTTAGCTATTTATGAAATTTATTTGTAAGTGCTTAATTACTTTTTCTTTATCGTTATAATATTTGTTACAGGTAAAAGTTTTTCTTTGACAATCACGGTGTCAACGTCCCCTCCTCAAGTGGCAACGTATCAGAAGGCAATCAAAGTGACAGTGGACGGACCCAGAGAGCCGCGCTCCAAAACAAGTAAGTTTCACCACATGCTTTTGACCTTTGATAAGCATAGTATTATTGAAATTTAAACCTTTAACTAAAGTCTTAATACATGGTTTATTAGAGTTTGCCGACTAAACGGCTGAATTGATCTCGAGGAAATTTGGCATAGATGTAGCACATAGTCTGGAAGAACACATAAGCTTAGTGGTTTTTTTACGCGAAAGGAGTCGCGGACGTGAGCTAGTTAGAAATAATTTACTTCTTAAAAATTATACTCTCTTGTATGTATGGATCTCTTTTATTTCTGACATATCTCGTATTATTTTCATATAACTAATACATAAAACATGTCATCCAATTAAAAATTTTAATTTATTTGTACAAAAGTTAATTCCGGATGCATTACAAACAATAGCTCGGTATCGAATGAGTAGTAGACACAAAACCACATATTAAAGTAAACATACGTCCATTTAAAACATATTTATTTTGTTCATTTACATTTCGCATCACTATTACTAATGCACGATAATAATTATCAACATTAAATGAAAAACTAATTTGATTGGACATGTCACGAGCCGGCACCCAATTTGTTATTATTCGATGCACTGTTGCAAAAACCGCAGGAGAGACGTAAACAATTAAAATATTCTATATTTTACTCCGCGGCTTCACATAAATATATTATAATCTGATAGCAAAATCTATAAATATACGTAATAAACTGAACCAAATCACATCGCAAACAATATCATTAAATGAACGACATTTCGGAGTACGAGAAAAAAGCCTGTTTAAATAAAAATGCAAATCATTGTCGTGAAATGTTTAACTGGTAAACGGAAACTAGTACTTTATCGTTTGATTTCAAAAGTTAAATAATAAATAATAAACTTTATTTCAAGCTACACTTTTTTTGCTCATAGTTTGTTAGTAATAGAAAAAACTTAATACCTATGTTAGTCACACATACAT